CTTATGGAAATTGCCCTCGGAAACACATCACTGAAGCTGTGCAAAATGTCAGGCACTGCTGCAAGGCTTAAGACATGCCATGGTGAGCAGGGATGTAGTGTGCAATCTTGCAGCACCCTGCAGGCTGACAGTGCATTTCATACATGATGGGAACCTGGCTCTTGATGGCTTGATGTCTCTTGATGTCTTTTTCCTCTGGAACTTCACATTATTTTATAATAAATTTCTTTTTGTATTCAATTCTTAATACTGACATTCAAATTCTCATTTAAAATAACAATTGGTAAAATTTTTCAGGGACTACATTAATATTTCAAAAGCATTTTCAAATTTGACCTTTTTACATGCTACAATATGATCCATTCCGAGATGCTAGATTTCTGAAGCAATCTGTTCAGCATCCAGCTATGCTGGAATTGAAGCTGTGTGGCTTCACACAGCAGAAATTTTTGAGTGGAAGGGACCTTTTTGTGGTAATAAAATTTTACCTCTTCTGCAGATGCCCCCTGAAGACACTACAGAAATGTGAAATTGCTTTAGAGAAGCTCAAGAATGATATGGCTGTGGTAAGTAATGCTTTGCATTAGTAGTAACAAGTACTTAATTCCATAAAGTCCTGTGATTTGGCAAAATAACTGTTTGCATTCCTTGTTGTTCATGCTGTTACGGCTTGAAATAAGAGAGACAGAATAAGAGAACAGTAAAAATGTGCAGGCATTTCCCTCGTTATGAATACCTCTCCTTGTCTACATCTTTAAACTGATTTTTCAAATTCTTGTTATTTGTAGCAGCACTCTTGAGAATTTCTTTCTATGAATATTTCCATCTGATTTGGGGATAGCTTCCTAAAATTTTTTTTCTTATGTTATTGTGTGCACAGTTTTGACATTCCTTTACATTTTATACCTGGGAAGTTTACTCTTAAAAAAAATAAAAGTGCAGAATCAATAGTAGAGATCTTTGTGCTGATTAAACCAGGAGTTTCCTGTGTTTCAGCCTACTCCACCGCCTCCCCCCGTGCCCCCCACCAAGCAGCAGTACCTGTGTCAGCCGCTTTTGGACGCTGTCTTGGCCAACATCCGCTCGCCCGTCTTCAACCATTCCCTTTACCGCACCTTTATGCCAGCTATGACTGCGATCCACGGCCCGCCCATCACGTATGTATCAGTGCCCTCTGTTAAGTRTTCATTATTTGAGGAAAAATTACTCATTTATTCAAATTGTTGAAAGACAGGATGGGTTTGTTGAGGTGTGAGTTGACCTGTTTCACATACAAAATACTTGGAAATTGTGACCTTGGCTTTAAGTTTTTACCTAGTCTGTTTGTGGGCTGTATTTTGCTCAGGGCCCCTGTTGTTTCACCTCGAAAGCGGAAATATGAAGAGGATGAAAGACAGACCATACCAAATGTCTTRCAAGGGGAAGTTGCACGGTTAAATCCCAAGTTCCTGGTGAACCTGGACCCCTCTCACTGCAGTAACAACGGCACAGTTCATCTCATATGCAAGCTAGGTAAGCAAGAGAAACTAAAGGAAGACATTAAAGGAAGGTAAGGAAGAGAAACTAAAGGAAGTATTGAATTTGATTCTAGTTTGTTAGCAGTCTTGAGGCTTTGAATTTGGTTCTAGTTTGTGAGCAGTCTTGAGACTTGTCAATAACAACCAGGACAAAGAGAAATGGCTCGTTAATTTTAGGAAATGTTATTTCAATTTGTTATAATGATTACTGATGATTTCTTCTTATCTCAGCTGAACAAGCAGAAGTTGTTATAGACTAAGTATGTTTTACACTTGGATTCAAATGAGGGGGAAAATATACGTGTGCGTGCGTGTGTGTGTGTGTGTGTGAGAAATATGGACTGTTCTTGTCCTGAATATTAGTACAAAGGGAACTTAATTTTCACAAACTAGATACCTGCCTTACTGAAGTTCAGTGGGTGAAATGAGAGGATTAACAGGGTGCAGAAATGTGAGAGATGGAGCTGTGTTTGCCAGGACAAACTTCTTCCAAGTAGTAAGGAGTATTTTTAAAGTGAGCAATGAGACTGAATTCCAGTAAGAATGGAGCCTTACAGTCTTGTACAGACTTACTAAAAACAAACAAACAAACAAAACCTCAAACTCTCTGTACTTAAAAGATTTTCTTCATCTGATGAGAAGCATTTTCATATCCTAGATGACAAGAATCTTCCGAACGTCCCACCGCTACAGCTCAGCGTTCCCGCGGACTACCCAGATCAGAGCCCTCTGTGGATAAAAAATCCAAGACAATATGGTATGAGGATGCTAGTGTGCTAGTTTGGGGCATGTGTTATGTGCTGGTGGGCAAGGTGATGGAAGGATGTTACTCATCTTTATTTTTATATATACATATATATATATAAATTTATATATATTTTTATATATATATGTTATATAACAACTGTTTATCTGTTATTTTCCAGCAGCCAATCCCTTTTTGCAGTCAGTGTATCGGTACATGACTTCAAAACTCTTGCAACTTCCAGACAAGCATTCAGTCACTGCACTCTTAAACACCTGGGCACAGAGTATTCGTCAAGCCTGCCTTTCTGCTGCATAACACCTCGCTTCCCAAACCATGAAGAAAGAAATAGGGTCTCGACAGCTGGCCTCTACCACATGTGACTGGCAAAACACAGGCATTTTGGGGAGGGTACTTCAGAAGAAAGAAGCCTTATATTATTTTGATTCTAGATGTCAGGTTCAGAAGAGAACCTGGTGTTAGATTTAGCTTTCATGTTTTTTATCTTCTGCCTCTGTGGACTTTTGCCAGCATTTTCAAATATACAAATATGTATATATGGTTCTTGAGACTGTATTAGGAGGAGCTTTTATTGTCTTCTTAGAGAAGAAATTATTTGTGGACTTCCGTCAGGGAGTCTGACTGGTATAAGAGGGAGCAGGGGGAGAACGTCCTAATTTGCTTTAAAGTTTGCCCAGTGCCAGTATTCCTTTCACACTGTATATTTTGTGACCTGATTTTGCCCACAAATAAATCAGCTGCAGCAAGAATGTGCTCAAAAACCTCCCAGTGGTTGCAGGAATCTTTGCTTACTAGCTTCGCCCAGAAACGAGGTAAATAGGGGCCTTTAAAGGACATTCTTCAAATATGTGAAATTAATCTGAATAATTGCATTTTGGGGGAGATGGGGTGGGGGAACCAAATATAGGAAAAAATGTATTTTATACTTTATTGTAAACACTACTTTATAATGGTTTTTGGTTAGCGTGGACCATGTGTTTCTTACTCCAGAAGAACGAGCTGGTTGGGGGTGCTAACATGCATACTGACTTCCCCTATGAGCACAACATATGTGCGGGTACTGGAGGGATTCTGCCCCCCTTCCACTCCTAGCTGTTTAAAACCGTGGATCAATCCAGCAGGCTTGTAGCTATGTGTCTTTGTACAGATGTTTATGAGGGGAAGGGTTATGAGGGTTGTTTTCTGAAGCCTTGACTTCCTAGGGGAGTCTATGTGGGTCACTGCATCCGTGCTCCATCTGCTTGTTTAAAAAAACCCTGAACTCAGCTCAGGAGTAAAACTGACAACTGTTATTTTGTCCCTAGAGCACCTAGGGGCACCCAGGTTGGTCGTGAGCTGCCTTACTGGGCGCTTCCAATGAAAACATTTGCCACAAGTAGCTCTCATTTCCTGCACAGTGTGATTATATCATTTTCCCCATGCTTATAGGTTGATTTCTGCTGCAGGTGAATTTCAGTTTCAGATATTCCTGGGGTATCCTGCTCCATCTTCCTATATTGTGCAGCAAAACTTGAAGAGTAGCTGGACTCTCTTACAGTAGTGTCAAGAAATTGCTATAATCTCTGTAAATCTGTGTGGTGTCATCAGTTTTAGGACGTTTTTAAATGTGGGTACTTAGTAAGCACTGACTGAGGCAGCAGAATGCTATCAGTATTTTGTATATGAACTAATGCATTACTTGTTTTTATTGTAATAAATTTATTATTCCTGTGCTGGATGCTAATGGTATACTGCTTTTCCCACGTTGATTCTTAGATATCAGTTCTGTTTTTCCATTGGATGATGGTTACTTTGTTCTATGGTAAGTAGAAATCCATATGGTTTGAGGCTTAGGGGAAGAAATCATAAATGATTCGGTTGCACACAACAGTCTTTACTGTCCTTGTAATGAACTGGCCGACCCAGACAAGAGTTAGTAATGGTATCTACGAAGATGAATTTTTAAACCAGTACTGTTACATGATTGTCTCTCTATGGAGAACTGAACCAGTGGCATCAATATAGTTTGAGTGGAGAGATGTTGGCACTGCACAAGTTTTGTGTCTCGTTACTGTAGYGCACACCAAGATACAAGGATGGAGATGGTTGCGGTTTTGAGATGCTGCCAGGCTGCCACACTGGGACATCTGGAGTATTCATTTCTTTACTGCTTGTCTAAAACACATGTGCAGACAGATGCAAACCATCTTGTGAACAACTTTCAGGCTTTTACAAGGTATCCTCTAATGCCTTTTTGAGAGCTGACTTTGCACTACATTTCAGTTTCAAACAATGCAATGAGATGATGCAATAAGAGGATGTGTGGCGGGGAGACATCTTAGCACACAGAGCAGTATCTCATTTGGGACAAAATCATGAGAACTGTTGGGTGTGACAGGTAACTCAGAATGTAAAATGAGTGACTGGGTGACACCATTTCTGATGTTTACAGATACTGCAGAATTTAAAAAAAAAAAAATCAGAACAAGCCTATTAAATCCTTGGAAAGATGCACCAAAATGGGTATAAATAGGTTTTAATGTTTGAGTGCTTTATCATGTGCCAGGGCACTAAAGGTGATTTCAGAAAATGCACCTAATATGAAATATCTAGATCTTAATATTTTCAACAAAAGACAGAAATATGTGCTTTCACAAATAAATTCTGAAACCARAAATACATACGTTTGATCCTTTACTTTCTTGAATAAATGCCAGGCAAAATGAATTCATAATCAACTTTTAACGTGGAATGATGTGGTAACAGCTGAAGAATCTATCATACACGTGTGGTTTGAACTCTCAAGGCAGTCATAAGGAAACAAGACGAATAATGCTGAATTAAAAGGCAGTTCGATGAAGACGGCTTCTTTGAACAGCCTGAGTCCTCTTCTGTCTCTCAACAAAACTGTTCCCCAGTGTTTGCTTCAGCGGTGGCAAAATTGCCTTTTTTCCAAGAGGCACTGGAGCAGCAACCAAACTGCAGAGAGGAATGCAGCAAATCAATGGCACTGTGATCACCCAAATCCATTCTCTTTTTTACCTATGAAAGGTACAGGGATGAGCCACTCTCCTACAGCCGAGTTTGGTGATTTTGTGTGCTGAACTTCCTAAATAACAGGATGTTCTGTGTGGCTGATTAGATTTAACTGCAGAGAGAAATTCCCACAAAATTTGGGTGTTTTGAATGAAGTTTTGTTCTTGTTCCAAACTTGGTGCCTGAGAGATACCATGTCTGTGTTTAAAATCTAGAATAACAGAAGAAACCTAAACAGAGGATCTGATCTTGGGTGGAGTTYTTTGGGTTTTATTTTTGTTTTGTTTTCCATTAAATGTGATTGTAATAGCTGCCCTCTTCTCTAAACGTGGTAATATTTATTTTTTGAAATATGTTCTTGCAAACTGCTAGTTAACAGTATTGACTATTCTCTTTAGTGTGGTTATCATGCAGAATATCAGATGCTTATATTTGGGAAAGTACGTCTCTACAGCCAGAACTAGTGACTCTCATGAGAATACAATGTTTAAACCTATCTGACCTGGTTCATTTTGAGTCAGCTGTTTGTTTTTATGAGCAAAACCTGATCATAAAAGGTATGAAATGCACTAAAAAGCCAATGTAACTAGTTCTGTCATAATAGTTAACAAAACTAAGTACATRTTAGCTGTCTAAGTGAACTCCCTATCATTTCCTTCTGGTAAGAGTAGTGTTCTTTTGAATTGATTAGATAATTTCTCTGTGTGTATTCCTCTGAAGTGGTGACTGGGAAGTAAAAAGGAATTCATTTATCTGAAATGCCATTTGCTGAATTTTCCAACCTTTTGAGATTATCTGGGCTCATCCTTATGCAATCCTGCTGTGAAGGAAGAGTCAGGAGACTGGGGAGAGCTGAAATTATGCAASAAGCATCAATTTTGGGCTTCTTTTTAAGTTTGACAGCATTTTCAGAGTAAAGATGGAATGGTTTGCTTATTACTGAAGTTCAGTTATACAGCTCTAACTTTTCTTAAGTCCTTACCTTTTCCTAGGTGTATCCTTGTGCGGCACTTTGGGCAAGCGTGTGACTTCTGGATTCCTGAATAAAAATGTTTGCAGATACATACTTTGGTTACTTTGCTGAAGAAAAATGCAGTGGTTGTGCTGAGCTGCTAACAGTTCTGGGAACAACAACTTTGGAGGCACCTGAATGTGTGTGCAGGTTACCCTGAGRGACAGGAGTCCTTCAGATGCTGTTCCTGAGCATCTGAGAAGGTGAGTTACAGACCTGGGTAACTTGCCAAGTGGAGCCTTTTCAAGTTCAGTGCTCAGTGCAGGCAAATAGATGCTCTCCTTAGAAACCAGAGAGTTTAGGTCATCCGTCTAAAAAGGAATTGCATTATAGAGAGCTCTGGTTTTAAAGGATCTGAGGTTCTTAATGGAAAGGAAATTGGAGACTTGATATTGCTGAGTCTTCCTGTTAACACACGACACAGCAGAGCTTTTGAGCTGTTGGTTTTGTCTTTTTTTTTCCTTTACGTTTAGCACAGAAGGATGTAACCAAAGCTAAACTGAAGTCAGGTTCTACGTGGCCAATGTTTTCATGGAATGGGGGGGTTCCCAGTTAAAGGCTACTCAAAAATATGGGAAACACTATTATGAAACAGAAGACACTTTAAAACTTGCTCTCTGTGGCTGTGTATGTGATATTATACATAAATACATATTAAAAAAATGGTTTAAGCCTGAGGTAGCAATAATACTGTCACTTGCTGGGAGGTATGAGTGACAGTCGTATCCAGAAATTGATATCTGTGATTTTATTGGGTTAGTTGGGGTTTTTGTTTTGGGTTTTTTTTCTTACAGAAGTTTCCTAAAACCAGAATATGTGAATGGCTTTTATCTATACAACTTGCACTTCAGTTTCCATTCTTGGGATGAAAAGTAATAGCAATGAAAAAATCTTTATAAAATAGAGGAGCAAGGCTAGAGCAGTACATGAGCAAATGCATCTAGAATTTGTCTAATAATCTTGAACTGACTCGGCATAGCTTACCCAATTTGAGTGATTAAGTAGTCTCCAGGAATCCTTTTGGTCTTGTGAATTTTTTCCAAACATGATTCTAGATACTCTATCTGAGGAACAGAGAGGAGAAAAGCTACCAGTCTGTGTATTTCTTTTGGGGAATTTACTGTTCATCATGAACAATGTGGCTTTTGACAGCTAGGAGTAGAATATGGGCAGAACCTGCTATGGACTCACCTGTTGGGCCTGCATCTGATTGATGCTCCAGAGCTGGTGAATGATGATCTGACACTCTGCCACTGTTGGTGGCTTCCAGTCCCAGGACGGAAGGGCATTTACTGGGAAGGAACTTGAAGAGGCAGCTGGGAATTGAGTTGCTGTAGGCGTATCTGGACTTGTCAGTGAAGCTATTGGGGATGTAGCTTTATCAGAAACTTCTCTGTGTTCTCTAAGAAAGTGTTCACAGTTAGCAATCAGATCAAGTTACTTCATGACAATATCTAGCTAGTGTAAAGTTGGAAATTAAATTCCACTAAGATGTTAAGACATTAGGCAGTTCTGAGTTATAAATAAATATATATGTTTTGGACAGCAGAAGTACTTTGCCACACTTTCTTCAGTAAAGCTGGTGTGTAAGAAGTTGGAATATTTAAGTTCTCCTCTGATCAGTCTTTTTCATTCTGAGTCTGTACAATTCACATCACTCAGAAACAACTAAATTGTGCTATACCCTTAAAAATCTTGATCCCTGCTAGATGTAGATGCACAGTAACTACTTTCTCAAATCWATTACGTTTTTCTATTTGACATTTRCCACATTAAATGGACCTACATGGAAGGACACCTGAACACAGGGTTGACTTGTGAATTGTTGCATGCTACTAAGCTGGTCATACCTGGGAGGAGCTTCCTCAGGTAACTTCTCCTGTAGCTCTGGTTCTCCAGGTACTTCTGCACTTTGTTTGTGCTTTCTGGATTGTTTCTTTTGTAGTCTCTGTTTTAGCAAATGCTGAGAAGCTGTAGAGTCACCTGTTTAAAAGTATAATTTGATTTTTTTTCCCAGAAAAGGAAAGAGGAACAGCAACAGGATTGCAACAAGCTCAAAGGCCTTAGCATCCTCCAGTCAAAAGTATTTAGCAGCCTCAGGGGGAGTCTGCAGCAGCTTGAAGGTACTAAATTTGCACAGGATTAGGTTGTAGAGCACAGATCACCTTCTATGTATCTTATTTTGTGCATGTGAAAGTAGTTTCTCTTTGAAGACCTTGTAATTAGTGGTAGTTCCTTTATGATTAGTGATGTGCATGTGATAAAACCAATATAAATGGTACTAAGGCCTCCAAGTTAAAAAGGTCACATGACTAGGCAGTAAAAACCATCTTATTTAATTAATTTCTGGTATTTCCATTACCCTATAGGTAAATCTTGCATTTTTATCAGTCTTACATGCTGAACAGTGCCTTGAACTGGTCTTCGCAGAAGGTGAGGTAGAAGCTGTATTATCTGCAGAAAACAAAACAAAAAAGAAAACCCAAAAACCAGAGAAATGAAGACTGGAGCCACATCTGCAGAGCTGATTACAGCAGCAATCTGGGCTCGGGGCTTAAGCAAGTTTGCAAAGTCTAGGCCTTCAAGTATCAGAATTGTTCGAGCCAAATTTGCAGTGAGACAATATCTATGGCATCACAGGAAGACACTGACTCCTAAGTAGACAAGACCTTTATTTTTGTGTACTCATGTGCAGCACGGTAAGTGTGTGGCCCTGATACAGCTCTGAGGCTCAAGCACATTAGTAGATTTTTGTTGTTCTTGTTGCAACATATACTGTTGGAAAATACGGTTACTGCAGGCTTATTTTTATGATACTGAAAGCTTTGACACGTGGGTCACACTATTCTGTTTGCCTACATTTAACTTTGCTCTTTTTCCATTGAACTTGATTTGCTCCTTGTTTTGGTTTGAGTCCTGCCCACGTGGCATCTACTGTGGCACATTTTTATGGAGTGCAAAGCGACTGTCCTCCTTCCTGGCTCATCTGCCTTGGGCCACTGCCGCGATGGGGATTCCAGGTCCCAGCCTCCCTCGTGCGTTGCCCAAGTACAGCCAGAAACTTGGAGAACGGGAATGGCCCTAGGGGGTGATTGTGAGTAATGGGGGACAAATCCCCCCTCACCCGGTGTTTGCATCCTCAGAGGGCACAGTCACCTCGTGGGGAAATGCATCCCTTTAGCTGCAGGGCAATGAGTTTTACAACTAATTTACAAGCTTATTTTACAACTTATCTATATTTTATTGCTTAGTGCCCTACAATGTACCATTTTGTTAACAAGACACTTAAATCCTCACCCTTAATGAGAAATGGATTGCAGGGTTTTTTTCCCCCCAATTCCTAAGTGTTCCCTTTAGCAACCGCATACMCCTTGATGTCCATGTCAGGATATTAATACAAATATTGTTTTTGTTATTGTCATACACTGGGGCTCTAACCGTGGAGGTGCCCCTCAGGGCCTCCCGCGGCGGCGGGCGCGGCCTACCTGGGGGCCCGGCCATTATGAGCTGATACTGCAGGTCTGCAAGAGAGCGGGGAGCGCGGCTGAGCCCGGGGCTGCGGCCGGCGGCCGCCCCCGGCCCCGGCGCCGCGGGCGCTACCTCTGTTCCGCCGCCGCAGCTGCTCCACCTCCTCGTGCAGCTTGGCCAGCGTCTCGGCGTGCAGCTGCCGCACGAAGGCCAGGCCGCGCTCGGCCGCCATGGCGGCCCCGCGCCCGCCTTGGTCCCCGTCCCCCCCCGGCTCGTGGTGGCGGCGGCTCCGCGCGGCCGCTCTCGGGGCGGTTTAACGGCCGCCGC